GCCTGGGGCCTGAAGGCTGCGAATAACAAACTAAGCTAGGGAGAGTGGAGAACAGCTAAGCAGCGCTCCACAGTTCCAACGACCGTCAGGGGCGGTAAGAAGGAACTGAGGGGGCGCCGGGTCGGCTGGGGTATATATTCAGCGCCATGAAGGCGCCACTCTAGGGGGCTCCACAGCCGACCCGCCGGTGTTGCTAGGGTAGAAAATCTTCCGACGATCGTGCACGCGGTGCGCACACACCTAATGGAATGGATATGAGCAAGCACTCGAAGAAGAACTGAGTTTACACTTCAGAGGAGGGTACGTGCCTTTGGAACTGGGAGGTGCCCTAGCTGTGCCTTCTTATGCAGGGGCTGGTTAAAGAACCTGTGTGCATGTAACTGCAGCTGGGGGTTTCCCTACCTGTATGTGTGCTGGTAGAAGTGCAGGCTGGACCCTGGGAGGGCTTGGCAGGCTGGTCACAGCAGTACAGTGTAAAGGGAGCCCAGGCTGGTGGGTCAGGGGGCTCAGTGGTACCCCAGTTCCAGGTGGCACCCCAGGGGTAACCCATCACAACCCCCTCTTACTTATTTGATTTGAACTTCCCTAACAGGGGGAAAGCCTTGGACTAAACCGACTTAGGGGGATGGGGGGAGACAAGAAGAAGTGGCCCAGGGAGGACAGCCTTAAGCAGCCTCAGTTGCCAGACCCAAAGGGCCTTGGGTTGGAGTCCAGTGGAGTGGGAGGGCCCAGGCTCCCCTCCCCACAATCCCACTGCTAGTCACGGATTGCGGCCTTGACCACTAGGCCATGCTTCCCAACCAAACCCCAAGTGAGGACCACTACAGCCCATGACATTTAGATGTGTAATATTATATTGCATATGGATAGCTATACTTCTGGGCCCTGAAGCCTCACAGTATCAGAATTCTCACTGATGATTTTGAAAAATTTGTTTTGGCCATTTACTTGGCTAATACCGGCAAAACAGAACTGGCCTCCTCAAACTCTCCTCCATCTTTTTCCATCTCAGGAGTCTTCCCTCCTCATTGCAATTAATGTTTCAACTGCTACATGTCCTTCCCTGGCCCCCCCATATTGCATCTGGCAAACTCACAAATGCACTCTTCATTTAACAGAAGACATATCCTCACTCTCTTCCTTGCTGATTAAGCAGTTAGGTGTTTTAAAGGGAGATGTGACAATGGCCAACAGTGAATATGCAAACCAAATTTTAGACTGCAGTTTAAAAGGATATTTGAATGGTTGAAATCTAATAAAACAGATTAACTTTTTGGTAACTATTGAAGAAAAACGTCAGAGTTCCAATTTGGGATTTTTCATGCACTTAGCTGTCCTTCATGGACAAGGATACAAAATTTCAGTGCTCAAGAAATGTACACATAAGTAAATCATCTGTATTAGGCATCTATATTAAGTTTGACTTGAGCATCTATGAGAGTTTTGCTTGAATAAGGACTTCAAGATTTGGTTTTCTGTTCCTACTTAGTAAGGAGAATATTAAAATCAGAATATGCTTTCATTTGTAGCACTTGATACAGAGCTTTTAATCTGAAAGCTTCAGAGCACTTTATAAAGGTGGGTAAGAATTCTCTCTACATGTGATTATTGTCAGACAGAGTGGCTAGTTTAGGTACCGAAAGACTAAGCGACTTGCCCATGGTAACTCTGCACTTTAATGGCAAAATTAAAAACTTCATCTCCAGCCCCAAGTTCTAGTCCGTAGGCAACAAAATAACTAATATTAAAAAAATTGTACATCACCAGTATTTTTAACTCTTTGATAACTTAGGGCTAGCAGAATGGACTCCCCCTTGCCCCACCCTCCCCCTTAAAATAAAGTGAAACAAAATTCTGTGACAAAGAATGTCCACCAGGAATTAACAACTGGGCTGAAGTTATCATTTATTGTAAAAAATTGTTTTCAGGACAAGTGCCCTCTCTTCAATTGTAACTACATATGGCACCACTTCTGTAATACTGCTTTTCAAGCATATAATATTACTGATTTGGAAGTTTTCCTATGTATACTTTCAGCTATTGTATACTTTGCTTTAATAAAAAATTCAATTTCTGTAGTGATACAACTGGTTACAATACAAAAGCAAAGTTGAAGAGAGAAATAAGTAATTTTAATGATTTAGATGTTGATGAAACAACTCAAATCACCATTACTTAATTTAACTGAATGATCTTTTGAAAGCAAAGATTAAAATTAAGAAATAATGTAGCATATGGCACTAAAGGAGTCACAATGTCCTAATAAGTAATCTAGTAGCACCACCTCCTGGTCATATTACCATGCACACATACTCAAAGGCTGAAAACATGCTACTTGCTGTTAATTTTACCATATACAAAAAAATTGCATAAATCATTTTCTCAAAGAGATAAGTATATTGAGAAATAAAGGTAAATTAAAATATCTGCTGACAAGTATAACTTGCTGCAAAAGACTGGGAATTATTAACAAGCAAACATTTTGCCAGAATTCAAGAAACTGAGCAAACCAGTTTTTAGTAAAAGTCACAAATTCAGTTTTTTTAAAACATCCCTGCAACTAAATGTGAACTTGTGCGCTTCTTAAATAAAACATATTTTTATGCAATATTCTGATCCCAGAACAAGAGAAAAATGTACTGGAAAAGAGCATTATTTTTCAAAATTGATGTTCATTATTTGAAACTATTTTTCTTCCCATTTTGAATGAAAAAAGGTGAATGCTGACAAATCAACCAAAGCAGCATACGTACCTTGAAATACTTTCTTCTTATCCGTGTCATATTCATTAGCATTACTCCAGAATTTATTCCAGTTATTCCATAATATGGGTGTCTAGCAAAGCGATTATACCATCCAATACGAGGTTCCTCATGTTCTGGTGCCATTGCAGCAATGTGTGTGGAATTAAATTTTTTCAGAAAAGACCAAATATCATCAACAGGTCTCAAAAACAGGATGTCAGTATCAACATACAGTAACGAATCCACATCTTTGAGGATTAACTGTGAAGAAAAAGTTAATATCAAACTGTAAGTGATCCATGAAGTAACTGTTTTGCTTTTTTATAGCTTACTTTGACAAAAAAAAGTTATTTGGAAACCATTCACTTCCATGCACCCCTTGCCCTCACAGAGTAGTTTAGTTTATATATTTTCATGAGCCAATGAATTCACTTCAGATAGTTTACAAATGTACAAATTCTTTTATTACCCATAATAAGAACAGAAAGAAACTTAAACCTGATGTAGAACAGTTTAAGACATTGGTGTACCATGCAATTGAAAATGCAATTTTTTTTCTTTAGTATATTGCTACTAAGGGGGAAAAAATGGGAGTAAGTGTTTTTGTAAAATGTGACAAAAATTATTTTTAGTGGAAACAGTTCCCTGCACAATTTCAGCCAAAAGTTAAATTCAAAAACAATTCTTGATGAATTCATAGAAAACCTGTAAACACTGTACTATTATGAAATAAGATAACTTACTGGCAAGAATAGCCTTTGTGAAGCACAGGGTTTAAACAGTTTCTTCCATTCTGCTGCACTCTCAGTTGGAAATGTTATTGGGTATATGGTATAATTAAATTTTCCTTGATATGGCAAACCATTGAGCTAGGTAAAGAAAGGACACAAAACTTTTTAAGCTTAATTTTATCAGAGAATAATGTATCATAGGAAGAACTGATCAATTAGATTGACAATTTAATTGAAAACATGCAGAAATATGTATTGATCTAATTGATTTTATTAATCTCCTCCTCCCTCCCCAAAACTGGAAACATTTTTTTTAACTACAAAAATCAGCTAGAATATTGTTCAAGTATGCTTAATGTCAAGCAAAAGGTGATTCAGCAAAGGTCTTTAAAATGAGAGCAAATCAAAGATGGGATACAAAAGTAAAGGGGACCGTAAACACGTTAAGCAAACTGCTGATTTTGTAAGGGGGGGGGGTCATTAAAATTAAAAACAAAACTGGTATGTAAATAGAGTCACATAGGTCTCAAGTAACCTTGGTAATTTAAAGTATCCACTTTTTAATGCAAAAATAACCAAACCCACCATAACTGTGCATCAATGAACCGAATTCCTGCCTTAGATTATCGATCTGGTCATAATTTTCCATTCAGCAGCTGGAATTTGCCAAGAAGAGACATAACACAATTGATTATTTTCACCACTACTGTCATTCCAATCTGCAAAGACACTACCATGCAGACAGCTGGTGGGACTGCCTGGTCAGAAGGAACAGGTCCAGATTTTCTCCTGAAGACAAACTATTCCTTGGCTGTTTTGAAAGAAGCTCTCAGCTGGATGATGTTCTGAGCAGGAAGCTGGTTTGGATTTAAAATGAACTCACATTGGCAGAACTGGGTCACTACAGTTTATGCAGTGAAGAAGAGGTTACTCACTTTGTGCAGTAACTGCAGTTGAAATGTTTCCCCCTATGGGTGCTCCACTTCATGTGCACATGCAACTATGATTGAAGAGTTATGGATAGCAATAACCATTCGGCCTGTGCATGTGCTCCAGACACTCTCATGCCCTTTACCGAGGACATAAAGGTTGCACAGATGAACCTCTCTCAGTTCCTTCTGTACCCAAAGTCCCATGAGATGAAACTCAAAGCAGAGTAGAAGGAATTTAGGGGTAGAGGAGCAACCATAGGGGGACACATCTTGAAGAATTCTGGTTACTGCACAAGGTGCATAACCTCTTTTTCTTCAAGTAGCATTGCTATGGGTGCTCCACTTCAGGTGACTTGCAAGCAGTATCCCCAGAGGGAGGAGGGAGCTTCAGAATCAGATCCAACATGGAAGACAGGACATCATTTTCAACTGCAACATCTGATCTGGAAGCGTGAACCAACACATAGTGTTTGGAGAAAATATGTATTGAGGTCCAGGGTTGCAGTTTTGCAAATTTCAACAACTGGAGACATTTTTCAATAATGCCATAGAAGTAGATTGGAACTTTGTAGAATGGAGTAGTACTCTAGGAGGAGTTTGAATGTTGGCAGCCTCATAACAAGAGATAGTTCACCCAGAGATCCACTTTGAGAGTCTTTGAGTGAAGACTGTGTATCCTTTTGATATGCCTTCAAATAAAAAAGTCTGGGAGACTTTCTAAATGGTTTGGTTCTGTCCTGAGAGGATGACAACACCTTTCTGACATTTAAGGTATGTAGTGCAGCATCCTCCCTGTTCTGGTGTGGCTTTAGGGAGAAAAAAAACAAAACAGAAAATGAATAACCAGGTTAATATTGAATTCAAAAGATACTTTAGGTAGAAATTTAGGGTGTGGTCAAAATGAACTTTTCCCTAAAAAATATTTTAAAGGGAGGATCAGCCATTAAAGTCCCCATTTATCTGACACTTCAGGCAGAGATGGTGGCCACCAAGAAAGCCATCTTCACAGACAAGTAAAGTAGAGAACAAGTAGTCAATGGTTGAAAAGAAGGCTTCATAAGGTAATTAAAGACGAGATTTAAATCTAATAGAGGAGTGGGCTGTCGAATCTGTGGAAAAAGATTAATCAACCACTTGATGAATCTTGCTGTTGTGGAGTGGGTAAACATTCAGAATCCCTCTACCTGTGAATAAAAGGCTGTGATAGCTGCCAACCGAACCCTGATGGAACACATGGAAAGACCTGACTTTTTTTTAATTCCAACATATAAACTGAGATTAGCAGAGAGCAAGAGCGAAAAGGCAAAAACTGTTGCCAAACACACTGGTGGTGAAATCTCATCAATTTTTGAAGGTAAACGTTGTGCGTTCTGTTTAATACCACATGTACTTTTGCCAAACAGGAAGTTTCTATCTCTGAGAGCCATTGAGGAGCTAAACTCCTAGTCAAAGAACCAGGCTAGAAGTCTTCACATAGGACAGGAAGCAAGGTGGATCAATTAAAGGTACTAGACTTGTCTCTGACAGTTCACTACAACTAAAATGACACTGGCTTTTTCTTATTTGCTCTTGTTCAACGTGCTCAAGATCAATGATGTCAGAGGGTATGCACAGAGAAGGACCTTCACTAAGGAGTGAGGAAGGCATGCCCTAGGGAACGAGGACCCAGTCTTCCTCTCAAACAGAATTTTATGCACTTCCTGTTGGCAATGGCAGCAGAGAGCACCACTTGTGGAAAGCTCCAGATTAGAAAAAATGTTCTGAGAATCCACAAGTCTAGCTCACATTCATCATCTTGGACGAAGTGCCTGGTGACATCATCAGCCATGGTGCTTTGTATGCGTGGAAGGTAAGAGGCTGAGATGACTATGTGACTGGCTATGCACCAGTTTCATAGCTTCATTGCTTCAGCACAAAGAGAGGAAGATCTCACCCCACCCTGACAATTGATGTAGAGCATGCAGGCTATGTTGTCTATCATAACTTTGCCGGATTTTCCTGACTAATGGAAGGAAGCAGATGCAGGTGTTTCTGACTGCTTTCCATTCCAGAAGGTTGATGTGTAGACCATTTGCCCTTAATGGTGTGTCCCTCTTCCCACAAGAGATGAATTCAACATTATAGTGATGGTAGGAGTAGGTTGAGTGAAAGGGACTTCTGCATAGACTTTGGAGGGATCCGTCCACCAACTAAGCGAGTACAGAACTCAGCAAGGGACAGACACTAGCTTGTCTAGACTGTGCTTGTTTGGATATAAACTGTTCTGAGCCACGCCTGGAGCATGACATGTTGTATTATGAAAATACAAGCTGTCATATGTCCTATGCCATAGGACGTATGCCATACATCCTAGCAGTTGAAGACAACTTCTTGCTAACATCTAGTTGCTTATTTGAACATTGGAAATTAGGTTTGCTAGGAGATGCAAATCTGTCCACAGGAAGATAAGCTCTGATTGTTACGGCATCCAGAGAACCCCCTACTGAAGTCTACCAAAGTGCACTTTTCGATATCGAGTTGAAGTCCTAACCTGTGGAATGGGGACGCTGCTGCCAGTACTGCAGAGAGAACTTTGTCACATGACCAGGGGTTGAAGCAGGGGAAGATGATTATTCAAAGTCAACATAGGTGAGAGGCTACCACTGCCATGGTCTTTGAGAATACATTTGGGGCAGAGGAGAGGCTGAAGTGAAGCACTCTACTCTGGAAACGATCCTGGTCAACTGTAAAACACAGCAACTTCTTGTGAGGGGGATGGACTGCGATGTGAAAATATGTGCCCTGAAGGTTGAGGGCAGTGAACCAACCAATCCTTGGAACACAACGATGGAATTATAGCTGTAAGCGTCATCCTGAATTTCTGTGATTTCACAAAGGTGTTTAGGATCTGAGCTCTTATACTGGTTCCCATCTCCTGCTCTTTTGGGGACCAGAAAATACTTATAATATAATCCCTTCCCCTCTGTGCTGGACTGGAACTGTTTCTATGGCCCCCATGGATAGAAGAGAGATGACTTCCTGTCTTAGTAAGCGTTCATGAGAGGGGTCCCTGTAAAGGTACGGGGAAGGAGGTTAAAGGGATGGAGGTAAAATGAATGGAACAACCAAATGTTATAGCCTACAAAACCCATTTGTCAGTTGTAATTTGTTCCCATGCAGGTCAAAAGTGGGAGAGATGGTCCCCAAAGGGAGGGAGGTGGGTGGTATGGTGCAGCTGAAGATTCCTGAGGTGGGGCTGCTCCAGACCCTCAACCAAACCATCAAAATTGATATTTGATATAGAGGTCAGCCGGATGGTGGTAGCAGTCATGGTAGGCAGTCTCTTCTTCTCACAGCTCTGTCACTTTTTAGGTGGTTCAGAAAGCCTGTGGTAACTGGGGAACTGAACTGGGTGAGATCTCTATGCTGTTTGCAACCTGCTAAATTTTCTTTTGTTTTCAGGCATATATATGCGCCAAGGGACTTGAGTTTGACCGTGGAATCTTTCAAACTACAAGAGAGATTCATCCATGAACATGATGAATAGCTTAAGTCCATCAAAAGGGAGGCCTTCAACAGTATTTTGGGTCTCCCTAGAAAAACCAGACAGCTGTAGCCATACTCTATGCATGACAACAGCAGTAGAGATGGAATGGGCCACAGTGTCGAATGCATCTAGGGAGGCTTGCAGCGAGATTCTTGCTAAGAGCTGACCATCAGCTATGACAGCCTTGAACTGCTCATGATATTCCACAGGAAGGTGTTCAATAAAATTCTTGAATTTAATCATAGTTGGTGTAGTTGTACTTTGCCATTAGTGCGTGGTAATTTGCAATACAAAATTGCAGGATTGTGGAAGAGTAGCTTGGTCTTTAACATAGGGTGTAGACTTCATATGATGCGGTCTTCCACACTCACTGATAGCCTCACAACTAAAGAATTTGGTGGAGGGTAGCAGAAAAAAAAACATTCAGAATTTTTCAACAGGATGTAGTACTTCTTATCAGCCAATTTGCAAGTAGGTGATGTGGTGGGAGAATCCAGTAAGACTTTATTCAGTGGTAGAGCCACTTAGAGGCTGTAGTATGTAGAATGTCCACAAGTTTATGTTGTGTCTTCTGGACATCCTCTAACAGAGTGCATAATGAGTCAGCAATCTGTTTAATCAGTTCCAGAAACTGCTTGAAATCATCAGCAATAGAAGGTGGAGGAGACATTACAGCTTCA